GTATACACCTTACCAAAACTGGGGATTTGTGTGAAAGGATGTCGAACAAAGACTTGGCCCCTCTATGAATACTGTGGCCCCTTCATGAAGTTTTTTGCTAGCCTACCTTGTTTAGCTGCAGGCTTTTAGCTGTTGGGACATCGTATTGACACCTTCTATGTTTTTAGATGCCTCATTTCAGTGTAACATCATCCTAAATCAATAATTAATTTAATATTAACCCTACGATGGTGGACTGGTCCAGCAAGCTAGCACTTTATCTCTGGAATGTGCCGACAAGAGGGAGAAAAAAAACAGTTTACACATTTCAAAATAAAGCACAAGTGATTATTTTGGGGGTGGGGGTGAGCATCTGTTGTCTGTTAACATCTTGAAGCTTTTATTTGGAAGGTGAATCTTAGCTTTCTTGTTGTTCAGCTTAAAGTTCCTAGTTTTTTTTTTAATCAGAAAGTCATCAGCCTATAGCAGTTAATAACAAGTGAAATTATTGATATATCGGCCGTGGTTTCTATGATATTAAACATGTCTACACTATAAATATCGTTATTTTTTATGATTTGTTTATTTGAAAGAGAAAATGACAATTCATAGGTTAAAACAGCCAGAATTAACCAAAAGGCTACTTTTCATCTGTAGTCATCTGACCATGATGAAGTTTGAATATAAATACAAATATACACAATGGATAAGAAGAAGAAATTGAATTAAACACATCCAGACACACTAAGAAACAAAGAGAAAACATTACAGCTAAAAAGAAAAACAATAAAAACCAAATATACAATAGCACAGATGTCTGATTCAACAAGACATTTCTTTAAGTGTTTAGTGAAAGTCTGACAGGTTGTTAGCAGTCTGAGTTCCTCTGGTTGTGAGTTCTATTCCCGGCAGCTCTCACAGACTGAGCTGACTCCTCAGAGGGATGAGACCGTCTCATCACACACTCACTGCTGTTTCTCTGACTGATCAGCACTGAGAGGAGCCATCGTCTAGGATGACGGATCATTCGTTCAGTGAACCATTTTACTGCAGTTTTAGGTTGAGATAGAAAAGATTTATAATAGAGACGAGAGCAAAGAACTGAACCCAATTCTTTGAGCATGGTTGTGTCCATTCAGAAGACATCTATATTTAGTAACGTTTCCTGCTGAAAGACAACTGGATAAACTGTCTTGTTTAGTGAAACTTTTAGAAATATCAATCACAGAATTAATAAAATGATTAAAAGTCTGCTATTATATTTAGTTCCTTACAGATTTTACCATCTAAGTGGATTTCCAAACTTTGTATATTTTTATAGCATTGCCCAGTTGATTTTTTTTACTGTGGTTCCAAATTATTTTAGGATTTCCCTTTGTTTCTGTTCAAAGCTGTAATAATAAAATCAGCCTTAGTTTCTCTAACTTATCTAACCATCTTTCATCTTAAAGAGACACAATGTTCCCTACTACAGCCCATCTTTAAGGCCAGTTTTAAAGCAGGGTCTCATTCTTTCATTAAACTAAAAATATTTTTATTTAACCACACAAGGTTGTTGTTCTTACAACTGTACTTTGTTTTCAGTGTAAATTGTAAAATAATTTCCTGTAATTTGTTTGCTAAAGAGCAGTCCAGGGGCTTCATGTATAAAGGAGTGCATACTGTAGCTTTCACACTAAAAGCTGAATGGAAAATTTTTGAAAAGTGCGCCGCACCAAAAAATTCAGATGTATAAAACTGAGCACGCATGTTTCTGTGCACCTTTCCTTTTATACATCCCAACSAAYGTGGAACTGATTACAACTTAGACTCCTCCCTCTGACACCCAAACTTAGAGCCCTGCTTACCTTTTTAAACACTTTGTAGCCAGGCAGGAACAATTAGTGACGCAGAAGCTGAGAATTCATAAAACTATGCTTCAGAGAGACAAAGAAAGTCAATATTAGAAGATGGTAAATTTGATCACATTTTTAAATTGTAAAATAATATATTTAAATATCTACATAAGAGCTCCCTTGAGTGCTTTTTTAACCCTCCCGCTGTCTTTGTGGGGTCCATTTGATCCCACTCATGTTTGGTCCTCCTGACCCCAACCTGATTAAGCAGTGGATGGAGGGGCAAAGGGGGGTTGGGTCATTAGGTGGTGTTTGTGGGTAGCCTGGCTGGCTCCCCAAGAGGCAGCCATGACTTCAACTTGTTAGCGCCACAGGGACAGCAGGAGTAAAATAAATATATTTTTGTCATTATTTTCAYYTGCAGGCCAGATGTGGCCCGCAGACTGCCAGTCGTCCATTYCTGATGTAGACATTATAAATTGTTTACTTTCAGGTCAGATTTAATCCAACTCAAAAATAATTATCTACAATGAGCTCCAGGTTGATCAGCATAAAGACTCAGGGTGTATTCACACCAGGAAAGTCCTTTTTGTTATTCAGCTGCAACAATGACAGACGATGCAGAGGCCTTCAACGGTTCATACTGAAGTCTGAAGAAGGTGCTATTTTAATGATACACTACAAAATAAAGATCTGAGCAAAAAAAATGAAAGTAAGATTAATTTTCCTTACTTCCTGWTTCACCTCATGCCCCMCTTAAAAACTTCTGGCGCCCCCTGGGGGAGGTGCACCCCCCCAGTTTGAAATCCTGTTTTAAAGCAAGAACAYAGGTCTGCACCTCTTCTTTAATAAATGAGGATCAGCTGCAGCTCCACTGAGCGAGTGTTTAGGAGTCATCATCCAGTGTGAAGACGGGCCTGATTTATTTGTGCTGATTATGATTTCTTAACTTACAGATCATTGGGTGTAATAAAAGACTTCACTGAAACACACATTTATCTTTCAGAGTGCTCTTCCTACATGGACATGAAAGAGAAGCAGGAGGCTCCTGAGGAACCAAACCCCACAGCAAAAGAAGCTGAACCTCCTGGTCTCCCAAACCTCTCCAGATCCCACTGGGACTGAATGTTTGACAAYGTCTGAAGCCTGATGATCAACGAGCCACTCAGTGGATGACCAGTGAAGACAAACCTGTAACATAATAAACTTTGGACATGAGTGGACTGGTTAAACTGGACCCCATCAGTTTGTGTTTATTACACCTACAGGGGGTTTCCTGGTGTAGAAGACAGAACGGAGACAGTCAGTTACAGATTTCTGTTTAATCATTGGTCTCAATCAACCTTCCTGTTTTTACAAACTTCCCTTAGCTTTTCGCACATCAATACGCCACTTAAGACGAGCAGCTTGTAAACATTTGAAAAGCAWTAAAACAAAAACTGGACAAAACATTTGTTACAAAACTACTTTTTACACTTCAAGGTAGTCATCAGGAGATACAGACGGAGCAACGGGTGGAGGAGACAACGTCCAAACCGGCTTTGGGATCATTTTTACAGGTTTCATAGTTTCTCTGGATAATTTCTGTCAACTACCTGAGCTAACAGGTAGCATAATTCTAAGAAATAGTTTGTGGTACAGTCTAATCACAAATTATCTATTCAATATAAACATTAAAAGATTAGATTTAACTCTGTTTTTTATATAAAATACAAGTGCATATTTGTGTGCTCCCTTTGGGGAAAAATAGAAATCTGCGTAAGCAAACATTTCATCAGAGCAAATCTGAGGCGTAAAAAAAAGTGACAGAATCCAATACGACAGGAACCCCGAATCATCATCACATCATCTGCATTTACAATATCAACACAATATCAAACAGTCCACATAAAAACAGATTTTCATTTTTACCAATAAGGCTTTGATTCCTAAAACGAACAAAACTGCCAACATCATCCCAGAGGGCGCCGCGCCTCACATGGGATCAAATGTGATAAAAATAAAACCATGCACAGAGAACTTCAACTAGCTGACACCCAACGCTTTGGCCATTACAAAAATAGAAAATCTAAAAATTCTATTGCCGTTAGAGAAAAATGTCAAATAAAAGAGACTCCAGRTTTTCTCTACATTTACAGTCAGATGCAGAAGTATTCACCCCCTTTTGATCTTTTCTTTTTGTTGCTTTACAGCATGAATATAAAAGGAATTGAATTAGATTATCAGCAGTAATTCTACAAAAATACAACAAACTAATGATTTTAGATGGTGAAAAGTTACCTCCAGAAGAAACATTAGTTCAATCAGATCCACCTGAGAGTGATCCAAGAGCCACATGATGTTCTGACAGAGCCCAGAATCAACACCAGACCAAAACCTCAAGGTCTACCACCAAGCAAGAGACAGCATGAAGACCAAGGAACTCTCTACACAGGCCAAAGTGACAATGTTGTAAAAGAGTACAGTCCAGAGTTGGGGTTATAAAAAGTACCCCATGGAGGGTCATGAAACCCATTATTAGGAAATAAAGATGATGCCACTACTGCACACAGAGGGTTGTCCACCAGACCTCGTGAAGCTGGAGAGGAGGGGGTCGACCATCTGCTCTTAAGACCACATTAAACTACTCAGAGCTGAGCTTCACAGAGGCAGGAAAAAGACCAAACTAAAGACAAAGAAAACCAACCAGCAGCTCTCATCAGGCTCAGAACATCATCTCTACAGTGAAGCACGGTGKTGGCAGCTTCATGCTGCGGGGATGTTCACCAAGCTGGACAGAGCAAAACGCAGACAAATTCGAGAGGAACTTGAGCTTTCTACAGATCTGAGACTGAGGAGGCTGAAGAAAYGCTCCACTGAACCGTTAAAGATCCAGTCTAAGTCCAGACCTCGTCCATCTGAGAACTCTGATTTAAAGACAGTTGRACACAAGCAGCACCAACCTGAAGATGTCTGGACCTGAAGGACGGACAGAAACTCCAGGTTAGATGGACCAGGATCATAKATCATGAATTCTTTCTGTAGGACAAGTTTATCGACATAACTTTGTTAATCTGAAGTATTTTGTAGAAATAATCATTTTTAAAATATATGTATCCCACAAGTTATGGCAACAAAATAGAGTCTGAAGAGGAGTGAATACTTCAGCAACCCACTGTGAGCAGAAACCAGACTTAGTCTGAAAGGAGCCATCAGCAAACTGATTGGAGACACGGCTGGCAACATGAAACATGGTGTGCTTGTATTTTACACGCTGAAACAAACGTTCAGTAATGCTTCCAGAGGAACACTGCTCAACACAAAGCAGACCAACAAGGTTTCCCTCCAAACCTACAGGGTTTAGTCTTTGCAAAGACATGGCATGAAAACCAACAGGAGCATGGTGTCCATCACTGTTCAACCTGTGGAGAGAAAAGTTCTACACTAGACTTGGGCTTGGCTGCGGTAAGGCACCGTGTCCACAGGTCCTGTACAAGATCCACTGCTCATACATCCATAGGTTCAAAGGTGACACTTTGGTAAAAATATCAACACAATTCAGTGTTTTCTAGCAAAGTATCATGTAAACAAGTGTGATGCACAATTTYCTTGTAAATAGCATAGAAAGGTTGGGAGAACCTTTGAGTCGTATGGCTTTAAACTCAGAAAGCATGAGTGAACCTCACATGGCTGACAGAATCTGGGAGCAATTCTGAGGGGAACAAGGTGCTTCAGGGTTATATAGAAAAAAAAAGATTGGGTTACACAGTCAGAGCAAAACATTATGACCACTCGGAGACAAACTGCTGCTTCTCAAAACCTKGGAGCATCTCCGAGAACCAAAGCTCCTGAGCTGAGAAGAAACCATCAAGACACAAATGTCTGGACTCCACCCCACACAGGATCTATGTTGGTTCAGCTGTCAAGGCAGGTGGTCGTAATGTTTTGGCGCACTGTTTCAGGCGACCCTGACAGTGAGACCACTATCTAACAACTGATTGTTAGTTTCACTGTAAGCGCTGATGATGATCGTCTGGAGCTCCAGTTCAGACACAGAAAACTTCATGTGGTGACTGCAGAGGACCGTCCTGCTCCAAACTCAACTCAGGGTTAAACTACCAACAGGACATGAGTCGACCTTTTCATATACCTGCTGGAAGCAGTCAGCCTCTTCCACGTGTTCACATAAACAGCCCATCAGCCAATCACAGRGCAGCATCAGAGCCTGGTTAAAGGGTCTGCAACACGCTTTTTCTTTAAAGACCGTGTAAAGTAAAAATAAATGTGTGTTCTGAGGTTGTCACACACAGAAATATGTGTTAAAAATCACCCAGCCAAGTTTGAACAATTAAAAATACTGTTAACCTTATAAAATTATGTATTAAAGGTAATGAAAAAATATCRGTTAGCTGTGATCTGGAATGCTGGGGGCGTGTCCRCTGGAGGAGCTCAAACCACGCCCACGACCCTGAACATTCCTGTAATCGAGGAAACAATGTTTGTTTTCTTTTCCATTAGAGCAACAGGGGGCAGAGTTATACTGAAGGCAGCTGCGTGACATCACGAGGTTGCCCTTTAAGATACGCCCAAAAAATCCTGTAACATATATCTTGTTACACAAATTGAATCATATCTCCACTATTCATATATCTACAGTTGAGAGAATTTGTACTCATTTACAACAATCTATTTGACATCTATAATGTTTAAAAAWGAAAATGTTACATTTTACTTTACACGGTCTTTAAATACAGTGAAAGAAAACATCTTAAGATTTTAGAAATTCGGCAAAATACAAGATTTTAACTGTTTTTGTCACAACATAACCGTTTGTTGATCATGACATTGTCGGGTGAAACAGGAAGTGACATCAGGCTGTGTCTCAGTTCAGGGGCTGGGTCCTCACGAGTGAGCATTTGTCTGCCCCGCCCCGAGGACTGTCCCAATTCCAAAGCTCCACATCGTGCGGCCGAGAAACTCTGGAAATCCAAGGATGCATTCATGTATCCTCACCGGCCGAGGATATCTTAGGATTCAATGTGCGGGCAGCAAAATAAACAGGAAATGAAGACGGAGGAGTTTTTATTTTTTTAACGAGTCTGAGTAGTTTGGAAATTCACCACGGACCGAAGGATTTTTTAAACATAAGTTTAGCAACTTAACTGATGATATTCATGCTGCAATAAGATATTAAATAAAAAAATGCAACTACAAAGTGCTGATACTGGAGCTAAACCTGAATTATTAATGTTTTTATTTATTTACATGTAACGTTTTAACTGTGAAGTTATTGTTCCAGTAAAAAGACGTGTAAATACACGTCCCGACACATTACAAGTCTGATATGAAACTAATCACTATGATAACAGGGGAGTGCATGGTCACGTAAAACCGACATCAGGCGAAGGGTAGGGCGTCTCATTTCACAGCAGTTTCATGCAGCTACCCGGCCCAGCGAGGATGTGGCCCAGCTGGGCTACGTGCTCATGAGGACCCAGCCTAAATAATGTAAAGAAACCCCAGATTTTTCTCTCCCGTCTGTCAGCTGTTTCCTGTTTGTCATCACTTCCTGTTACTGTGCACATGACACCATTGTAATTAGTTTTTACAATAAATTAGATTTCTTTCTGATAATGAACTTTATCGTATCAGATGTGACTGTTTAAATGCAGCTGCTGCAGTTTGACTTTTTAAACGACTGCAGAGAGGATGACCTGCTTCAACATGACACAGATCTAATCTCAGGCATGAAGTTTCACCTGAACAAACTCTGGAACACATGAGCTGGCCTGGACATGCACAGACACAGAGTCCTGCAGAGTCCTGCAGGAGGTACAGCCCAACATTAAAGACCACCAGCTGGAGGCAGAGCTCAGACTGTAGGGGGACACCTGACAGCAGGAGCTGCAGGTCCAAAGGGCTCCAACATCTGGAACAAAGATGTGAGAGGAGACCTGAACAAAAAGAGTAACGCAGACGTCAGCAAGTCAGTCCCACCAATCGGTGGGTCTGCTGAAGACCCAGTCCACAGTTTCCATGGAGACCCCTCCCCCGCTGAGCTGCTTGGATCGAGGATTCCCAAAATAAGCCAGACAGAATAGATGTGTACAAGAGGACGGTATCAGTGTGAGAGAGGACAGGAGAGTGTCCAGGTGGTGTTAACACCACAAGACAAACTGACCCCGCCCCCCCTCCACCCCCACACTGATGGCAAACAGAAAGCTTGGCTCATGCAGTCATCCTGTGATTGGGGGTGTGGTGGTGGTGGTGGTGGTGGGGGTCTATGTTTTCTGAGGGTCTGGAGAAATGGGTCCAGGTGTGTTGGTCCCGTCCAGACTCTGAACTGGGATCTGGAACTGTGGGGTGAGGACTGAAGGGAACTGGAACACAAAGAAGAGCATCAGACGTTACAGAGTGAAGCTGACACAACGTTCTGCTGCTGGCCTCATTCACAAACACAAACAGGTGAAACCTTCTGAAACGGTTCACACTCACCTGGAACAGGTGGCCTCCCTGGCGCCGTGTGGCCGGGCTGAGCTGAGCCACCGGGCTGAGCGTGCTCCAGAAGTGGATGTTGGACAGCAGAGGACTGGGAGTCAGCAGGAGGGTGGGAGTCTGAGGGAAACAGATTTAAAGTTGGATGTTTTTAAACTTCTGTTTCATGGGTCATGATTTAAATTAGCTACAGGTACTTCTGTTCATGTAGACAGATTAACAGAGTGATGTTCTCAGGTGTGAGCAGGTGAGATGAGACGTGGACTGCAGCTGAACAAGAGGAGCACCAAGACGAAGCAGAAATAATCATTGACTAATTGAAAAAAATACATAAAAATATCTTGTTTTCATTCAATCTGTAGTAAAATGAGCAGATAAATACTCAACACTCTTCACGACTTCAGGTAAAAATAAAACTCTAAATAAGAACCATCGTGTTGGTTTTATCTGGACTCTCAGCACTGTGTTTCTGACTTTGGGTTGTTTTGAGTCTAAAGTCCTTACAGGCTGAGGACAGAAAGAACCAAAGACAGAAATCTGGATCAGATGACAAAACCTGATCTGGAAACCAGCGTCCAACAGACTCTGACATTCTTCAGTAATTACCAGCATCAGGTGATCTGCTAACAGCATTACCAGAACTAAAATTCACACAAACAGAACCAGAGAATCAAAGATCATCATCCCTGCAGCTCTGCTGCCCCCTGCTTGCTCAGACCTGGACTCACAGCAGCTCTGACTTTTACAGAGGTAGGGTTGATAAAATCCATCCATCCATTCAAATTCATTTTTTATTTTTACCGCTGGGCCAGCTCCGTCACAACCTTTACTAAGATCCATATTTTTAGAGGGTGTTGCTGTTTTAGCGAGTCTGTTTCACCGCACACTTCACAGATGATTTTTATCTCTCTCTGTCTCTCTCTCTCTCAGGAGGGGGACTCACCCTGTGTGSCTGTTAGCAGGTGACAGCACTGCAAAAACTGTCCACCTAATCATGTTTTAAAAACTTATATCCAGCCAAAAAGTCTTTTTGATCTTGTTTTGAGACTGAGTTACTAAACAAGAACTGATTGTGTAAGAATAATAATCTTGTTTTCAGAATGTGTAAGATTATTTGTCTTGTTTGCCTGAAAATTTGACTCAAATTGAGTCAAAAATTTCTGCCAATGGAGTAAGAAAATTTTACTTGGTAAGACTTCTTGAAATACTTGATTTGACTCAATTTTTTCTTATTTCAAGAATCATACCAAGCAAAATTTTCTTACTCTATTGGCAGAAAATTTTGACTTAATTTAAGTCAAATTTTCAAGCTAACAAGACAAATACAGGGGTAGACATAAGGATATTTTTCAGGTTGTCCAGCGGACAACCTGTTGACAAAACCTGGTTGTCCGCAAAACATTTTGGTTGTCCAAATAAATTTCAAGAAAAATGTAATTTAACAAGTATATTGTTCTGTAGACAACGTTTATTATATGTAATTGTTCTCAATCAGCCGGTTTGACAGGATCTGCGTGAGTAAAACTTCCGGCTCAGGGAGTAAAGCAGCAAAAATGTTGCTACTAAAATCTAGAGGTTACCCAAMATTCACAAAATTTTTTCTGCTCCTAGGTCAAACATTTTCACTTAAATAGGAGTATAGTGTGTACATGACCTTATTAAAAGTTGCAGTTTAGTGTTCTGTTAGGCTTTACCAAGAATTTTCTCCCTTTCATTTTTACAAATGACGGACACCCAGAGAGCTTTAATCAAGGTCTTTTTTTCTTGGTTGTCTACCGAACAACCAGGAGACAGGATCTGGTTGTCCAAAATGAAAACAGGTTGTCTCGGACAACCTAAACAATGGTTATGTCTACCCCTGAAATAATCTTACACATTCTGAAAACAAGATTATTATTCTTACACAATCAGTTCTTGTTTAGTAAATCAGTCTCAAAACAAGATCAAAAATACTTTTTGGCTGGATATAAGATTTTAAAAMTTGGTAAGATGGACAGTTTTTTGCAGTGAGCATGAACAGGGAGCGGCAGTGTCCAATATATATCAGAAACTCACCCAAATAATTGAATTCTGTGAGATTCTGTGAGATTCCATGTTTTATGCTGGATTTCATTTTGTTTGGTCAACTCGTCCACGTTTTCTGCATCGTGGAAATCATAGGGCTCTGCTGATACTAGTCTGAGGGTCTTCACCACCCACCAGAAGAAAAAAAGACAGACGATGTCTGTGTGTGTTCCAGTGTATGTTGGCAAAATATCTCATGAACCAGTAGACAAACGTTGATAAACTTGCTGAAATCACAGAATGCATGTCTACAAATGGTAAATGAACTGCACTTGTATAGCGCCTTTCTATCCATCCAGAACACTCAAAGCACTTTACACTACAATCTGTGTTCTCATTTACCCATTCACACAGCACTCTACCAGATCTTCTACAAAGCTAACATGTACAATCATCTATGGAGACTAATCAGTGCCATTCACATTCATACACTGATGGGACACACATCAGAGGCATTAGGGGTGAAATGTCTTGAAGGACGCAACAACTGAGACAGTTGGACGGGGGATCGAACTGGTAACCTTCCAGTTCCAGGACAACTCCTCTAACCACTCTGCCACAGCCGCCTCAACAACTGATGAACTTTAAGAGTGAACAAAAACAAGATGGCTGTCGAAGCTAACAGGCCTTCTGAAATGCACAGACTGGAACCAGGAAGTGGGCGTGGCAGCAGCTCATTTTCTGAGCTAAAAGATGACTTTGTAAAGATTTGTCTCTCCAACAGTTCTCAGGTATATTTTTGTGCAGTATCTGTGTTTTACAGCTGAACTTATAACATTTAAAAGCTTTATTTAACTTCTGAACATTTTCAGGAGTTTCATGTCATTTATGTTTTTAGGTTGAGAACAAAAAAAGCAGCTAAGCTGATGGACTTTAAACTCCATTTGAATTTTTCTTTTTCTTTTTTTAATAAAACAAAACAATTCAAATCTGAAACTGGTTAACCAAAAAACCATCCTACACAATCCTCCTGACTAGATGTTTTCTGGATTCTAATCTGTTTACTGGATGTGATCAAAGGTCTAACTTCAGGTCAGATGGTGTCTGAATAAAAAGCCCACCTGTAGCATTGCTGGTGTGAGCGAGGGTGGGGCCAGTGAGGGGCTGCAGATGTTCATGGGGGAGAAATCAGACGTGGTGACCAGCAGAGCAGGCGGGCTGAGCTGCAGGACTTTGGGGGGTTTTCGTGTCTTTCCCGGGACCGTGGTGCTGCTCACAGAGGATGAACTGGTATCAGGGTCCAACAGACTGGACTCATCTGCAGGCAGGTCCGAGCCACTGTCCACCTGCTGCACACAAACAACACTTTACTTTCATTTGTGGCTTTAAAACACTAAGAAATATCAGTGTGTTCCAGTTAATRTAACCTGAGATAATACTCTGATCTGTGGGACAGAAACATTAAAAACTTAATTATTTCTGAACAGTTAGAGGTATTTCATGTTTGACATTTGTAATGAATGAGAGGATTTTGACTCCTGTTGTAAAAACAAGTCCAGAAGTCTGTCCTAAATTTAACACTAAAAACAAACTTTACAACAAAATAAATCCATGAACGTTTTACTAAAGTTCTGTCAACACATGGTGTGAAGTGTTTGCCATCTTCCTGATTTCTTATTCTTTTATTTGTCACATTAAACGTTTCAGATCAACAAACTAATTTAAATATGAGACGAAAAATAAACACAAAATGCCGTTCAGAAATGAAAGTCTTTGTGTGAAACAGTGAATGCCCCCTGTGGTTTATCACATCTTTGGAAAGCTGAGTTTAATTTTTCTAGACACACCCAGGCCTGATTACTGTCACACCTGTTCTCAATCAAGAAACCACTTAAATAGGACCTGCCTGACAAAGAAAAGTAGACAAAACTTAATACAGGAAAATGAGAGTACTGTGGAGAAGACGAGGACACAGGACCTGTATTATTACATTGTCAAAAATACAGAAATGAAAGAAATCAACTAACAGACTCACTGAAATGAAAATAAGGTTATACCTTACAAAATTATTATGCAAGATTTCAAAATCTGAAAGTACCCAAGCTTTAATACAATACTTGAAACAAACTCGGTTGTTTGAAAGAATATTGTTTGTTTGTTTGTTTGTTTGTAGCACTGATCCAGTCCACACTCCACACCAGTAGGTGGCAGTAATGCACCTTACAGTTGTTTGTCAACCGCCAAAAAAGAAGCCAAGAAGAAGAAGTAAAGTAGACCAAAAGATTCTGAAAAGATAGACATGCTGAAATCCAAAGAAACTACTTGCGATCGATCAGTCTAGAAAACCATTTTAAAGCTTTGAGACTCACAGTGAGAACCGTTTCACGAATGGCGAAAGCATGGAACAGTGGTAAACCTTCCCAGGAGGGACCAACCAATCAAAATTACCCCAAGAGGACAGCAACAAGTCATCCAAGAGGTCACAAAGATCCCACAACAACATCCAAAGAACTGCAGTTAAGGTCAGTGTTCATGCCTCCATCATAAGAACTGGGCAAAATTAGCTTGCGACCTGTCCAGGRTGTACCCCRCCCCTCGCACTGTGACTGCTGGATATGGGCACCAGTGACCCACGCGACCCTGAAAAGGAAGAAGCGTGTACAGAAAATGGATGGATGGATGGATGGAGTTCAAAGACAATAACTACTACTGAGCAAATAGAACATAAAGGCTTGTCTCAGTTCTGCTAGAAAACATCTTGATGATCCCAAGACTTTTGGGAGAATATGCTGTGGACTGACGAAGGTGTAAGTTATGTTACATCTGGTGGAACATCACACCAACAGTAATATGCGGTGGTAGTGTGATGGTCTGGGGCTGTTTTGCAGCTTCAGGACCTGGAAGATCTGCTGTGTTGAAAAGAACCATGAATTCTGCTGTCTAAAAAATATCCTGAAGAAGAATGTCCAACCATCTGCTCATAACCTCAAACTGAAGACCTCTTGGTTTCTGCAGCAGGACAATGATCCAAAACACAACAGCAAGTCCACCTCTGAATGGCTTAGAAAAACTAATTTAGGACTTTGGACTGACCAAGTCCTGACCTGAATCTGACCTTAAAAGGTGGTTCATGCTCAGAAACCCTTCAATGTGGCTGAATTACAACAATTGTGCAAAGATGAGTGGGCCAGGATTCCTCCACAGTGCTGTGAAAGACTCACTGTCAGTTATCACAAAAGCTTGATTGCAGTTGTTGCTGCTAAGGGTGGTCAAACCAGTTATTATGTTTAGGAGACATTAGGGTCCTGTAGGTTTAGWTTTATTTTCCATTTCTGAACTTCACTTTGTGTTTATTTGTATCTTTGTCTCATATTTAAATTTGTTTGGTGATCTGAAACACTAAAGTGTGACAAACATGGAAAAGAATAAGGAAGAAGGCAAACAGTTCACTACAACAAAAAATATGTAACAACTGAAGAGTCAGATGAAACAGAGCTAATGTTAGCTTAGCATTTCAGCTAATTCATCCAAGAGTAAATAAATCTGAAAACAAAAAGGGCAGATTTACTTTGGCCCTGAAAGGTTTAAACTGGTCTGAGTACTGACCTTGTCTTGTGCCTGAGGGTCTGTGGTCTCCTGGGCCTGAGAGGCGGTCGGCTCGGAGCCTTTCGTCTCCACATCACCGTGGAGGCTGAGCTCCTGAGAGGACTCTGGCAGGAGGTTTGGGGACGGGCTGGCTGAGCTCAGGTCTGACAGGCTGAACACTGGCTCTGATGGTCGGGTGGGCTCGAATGAGTAGACAGAATGAGGCTGCAGGGCGGAGTGTGTGCTGATGTCTTCAGCCCTCAGAGGCGGAGCTTGGAGAGGATCCAGGCTGCTGGGCGTCAGAGAGGGCTCTAGAACTACCTGAAGAACTGTGGGTGCTGGCTTTGGAGGGCTGTTTCCAAACTTAATGACTGACGGCAGAGCGGCGGGTGGCTGTAGCTGAGGAGGGGTGTCTTGGCTCTGTGTGGGGGCAGTGGGACCCCTTTTCTCAGCTGGATTCTCTATTTTGATAGACTTAAATAGTTGGCGTCCGTTTTGCAGAGAGTTGAGGTGAAAGGAGGTGTACAGACCGGAGTGAATGTAGTCATTTCGGTTTGACTGCTTGGTGCCAGCCCCCACAGCCGCTGCGCCTCCCCCCACCTTCGATCTGTCAGCGGACTCGTGCTCCTGTAGAGCGCCGTCTTCCTTCCTGCTCGTAGGTGTGAAGCCCCCAGCGCCCACGTCCCCTCCGTCTGTTCGGGTGGCAGCGTCTCCTTTCAGGATGTCGGGGTAGGACACAAAGCGGTAGACAAACTTCTGACCGTTCACCTTCTTTATGATGTTCTACAAAACACAGAAAAGCAACATGTGGGCAGGAGCAAGACATTCTCTAGAAGAGACAGCAGAAAAAATTAAATTCGTACAACCACAGAGGAGTCCTTCCTTCCTGTCTGCACCAAACAAACAGCCACACAAGCCAAACACAGCTCTGTAGCTGTGCTGTAAACACCCACAGGGTCAGCCAAACCACAGGCAGGGTRAGCCACAGACAACTCTGGTTCTTTCACTTCCCACTGCCATTAAAACCTCTTTACCTGCATTTACCCCGAATTAATCTCTGCTGGAAGTTTCTCTTTTAATGAGATGAATATGCAATGTGAGGTTTCACTCTTATTCTGGAACATCACGTCTCAACTCACTTCTGTCACATCAGGCTGCTGCAGAGTAGAAGACATCTCTAACGTTAAGACTTGATGCTACATAGACCAGCTTTCTGATGACAGTTACTGAAGTTGCTGCCAGTCCAAGTAGTTTTGTTTTAAACCAACCCCCAAACACACAGCTTTGTGATAAAATTATTTTAACCTGTTTTATCCTCATGCTGTGTAACCTGAACATCTTATAGCTCATAAAATGTCTTTTACATGAATGTGACTTATATAGAGGACCGAAACTGACATAATTAGAAATAAAGCAGAAATATATAAATGGGCCACTACATGAATACACTTAAAATGCACTAATTAAATTAAAAATATGATTATGATTTAATTCCTTCATTTTTAT